AATTTCGCGAAAACATTTATCTAAAATAATAGTAATAATAATAAAAAAAAATAATTTTTAATAAAAATTAATTAATCATTTTTAGTTTCATAGTATAATAAACTAACCTCTCATGATTTATTACTCATGAGATTTTGAGTAAAATTTATTGTAAACACTTCCAATCCTTATGATTTATTACTCATGTGATTTTGAGTAAAATTTATTGTAAACATTTCTAATTCTTAACGCACATGATTTTATCTTAGACACGCCCAATCCTCACTTATATAAATTCAACTCTAATAAACAAAATGTATCATAGTCATTATTGTCGACTACTTTCTGTTAACCAATATCAGTTCCTCCGATCTTCCTTATTATAAGTTTCTTCTCTCCCTTTACTGCTCTGTTTATTAATACTACGTTTGCGAAAAATAAAGGCTTATTAATCCTTCTACTGTATTGCAAACAATTCGAATATCAACCAACAAACCCTTCACGACAACAAAAATTTATTGGTGCCACGAGCCGGGATTGTATCGCTATTTTTGTTCCAGTTTGGTAGTTGTAGATTTAATATTGAGTTGAGTGAGTGAATGTTGACAGTTTCTAATCTGTTCATTCACATTAACTAAACTTGTTAAAAAGTTTCTTAGTTTGAGAATTGACCAAGGCATGTCCTTCTTCTTATGTTTATATATTTTATGTAATATCCATAATGGTAACTTGCTCTCGATCAAGATTTTAATATTTGAATGTTCGAGGCTTTCTCCTAGAGCTTCTAACTGGCGCAGTACTCGTTCTATATTTTCAATTGTTCCAATCCATTCTCTTTCATTTCGTTTAATTGATTGGAGTTCGTTGTATAGTAAGTTATTGCTATTGAGTGATCGCCATATTTTTCATTAAGCAGTTTTCTGATGACTTCATAATTCTCTGGAGCTATATCATCAGATATTGCTTGTAGAACCCTTCCTTTAAGACATGAGTACAAGTAATTCAATTTTTGTATTTCTGGAATCGCTTGTGTGTGGACTGCTGCGTTATAACTGCTCCAAAATTGTCGCCATTGTCTAGGGTCTCCATCGAAAGTAGGGAGCGATAAATGAGGAAGATTTACATTAATATTTGAAGGAGTAAATTTTGCCTCTTCTTTTGTTTGTTTGTTCGTCAACTCCTTTGAGAGCTGTTTTAAGTTTTTGGTCGACTTCATCCTTGTGCATTGTTAGTGTTATTACCGCTTCCTTTCCTTCGTGTAATAATTGAAATATTCCTTGGTCACCTTCTGTTACTGTTTTGTATTTTTCTTCCTCTTCTTCTCTTCTTTTCATCGTGACGATTTGTTGAGTATATGTGAACCATTTATCGTTGATAGATTCAAGCGTAGTTACGCATAATTGGATTCTTCGAAGTTTATCTTCTAATACTCTTTTTCTTATTACATAAAAATCTTCTTTTTCTTCTATTGTCATACTTGGTTCTGGAGATTTGATCTCCAGTTAATTTACTTCTTTAAGAAGACTGACTAACCTTTCCTTTGCCGGTTGAAAGCTCTCAATAATGTGGCTTGACATGTTCCCGGCTCGTGGCACCAATAAATTTTTGTTGTCGTGAAGGGTTTGTTGGTTGATATTCGAATTGTTTGCAGTACAGTAGAAAAATTAATAAGCCTTTATTTTTCGCAAACGTAGTATTAATAAACAGAGCAGTAAAAGGAAAGAAGAAACTTATAATAAGGAAGATCGGAGGAATTGATATTAGTTAACAGAAAGTAGTCGACAATAATGACTATGAAACATTTTGTTTATTGGAGTTGAATTTATATAAGTGAGGATTGGACGTGTCTGAGATAAAATCATGTGCGTTAAGAACTGGAAGTGTTTACAATAAATTTTACTCAAAATCTCATGAGTAATAAATCATAAGAGGTTAGTTTATTATACTATGAAACTAAAAATGATTAATTAATTTTTATTAAAAATTATTTTTTTTTATTATTATCATTATTTTAGATAAATGTTTTCGCGAAATTATAATTCGCGACATTCCTTTTCTTAATAAAATTATTTTTGTCATTTACTATTATAGGTGACACAATCAATGTTTCGCTTGGTGCCATCTCTGGAAACAGATGAATGGCCTGTACGGTACATTTTTGCCTCCCTAAGTGGTCGTTCAACGTATGTTCAACTTCGTTCCTCACCAATATATACAATTCATTGGCATGTCATTTCGCCGAGTAAAGAAGTACAGGTAATTAATTAGTATATATTCTAGTCTTGAATACATTAAGTAAATAAATGTTTTATTGCTAAATGATATTAAACCAGAAGTATTAGCACTCTGATAGTTAATACAAAAATCTTAAATTTTCAACTTAAAAATTTTCAAGCTTCTTAATATCTCTAATAATTCTCATGTGCTTGTATGCTTTGTTCAGAAAATTCAAAAAAATGTATTTCAGTTTGACATTATTTTAGAATCTATTAATTTGAATTCAAATTTAAATGAATTTGAATTTATGCAAATTTAAGCTTACACGAAAATATGCAAAATATTTTGAAATAATATTTACAATAATAACATTAGTTACTTCTAAATATAGAGGAATGTAAATGTTCTCTCTTATTCGATCAAAAAGCCAACTCCAAAAAAGGATAAATTAAACATTCGAAATTATTTAACGAATTTGATCACAGTTCTAAATATAATTTGACTTCAGATAAAGCATTGTACATTGTACAGTAGTTCGAGTTCAGATAAAGCATCATACAGTAGTTCGACTTCTGATAAGGCATCGTACAGTAGTTCGACTTCAAATAAAGCATCGTATAGTAGTTCGACTTCTGATGAGGCATCGTACAGTAGTTCGGCTTTAGATAAAGCATCGTACAGTAATTCGACTTTCAGATAAGGCATCGTACAGTAGTTCGACTTCAGATAAGGCATCGTACAGTAGTTCGGCTCTAGATAAAGCATCGTACAGTAATTCGACTTTCAGATAAGGCATCGTACAGTAGTTCGACTTCAGACAAGGCATCGTACAGTAGTTCGACTTTAGATAAAGCATCGTACAGTAATTCGACTTCAGATAAAGCATCATACAGTAGTTCGACTTCAGACAAGGCATCGTACAGTAGTTCGACTTCAGATAAGGCATCGTACAGTAGTCCGACTATCGCATGAATCGATTCTTCAACCAATGAAAATGCAAACAGCTGAACGATGGCATATGAACTGGGAATATGTTGTGTATCGAATTTCACACGGTCTTCATTTTGCAATAATGAAAAATGTTGCTGATATGAGTCCTCAACAGAGAATTGTTTATGTGCGAGCGCAGAAAGCCTATCCACGACGATTCATACGATGTAGTATTGCACCTATACAGGTATATGCAATTTTGAAATGTTAAATTAAATTAATTATTGGCTATAGCACCCATTCATTGCTAATATTTTTGAGCATTTGTGATGATCACAAAGCATTGCTAGCATACTCAATTAAAATGTGTACCGTTGATCAAAATAACACTCAAAAAAATTATTTATTCATAAAATTGAATAATGAATAGTAGTTATCTTTTTTATGTTCATTTGTTGTTATCTTACGATCTTACGAAATGTTGAGAAGTAGAATTGTAAGACATAATAAAATTATGATTATTCAACTAGGAACAAATGGTCTTTTTTTGTTTTTCTATCAAATTTGTCAACAATTTTCAATTTTATAAAAAAAGATCCTTTTTTTTTGCTGGATTTGTTTTTAAATTACTTAAGAGTTAATTATGCTAGTTAATTTAAAATAACAAATGAAATGATTATCATGAAATTCAAAATAATTCCTTCCAGAAAAAGAAAATTCTTAAAGCATCGGAAGCATATCCAATTAAAATGTGCACTGTTGATCGGGGTGAACCGTTTCACGTCAAAAAAATCAATATTCCTAAATATCAAGAATGTATGGACACCAATTATAATGCGCCATTCCAACAAATTAGCGAGTGTTCATTTAATTCAGCTATAATTAAATGTAGCTGTTGTTATGATACAATGCAATAATTAACTAAATTACCAATGACACTTGTTGCGATTGTTTTAAAATTTATATGATTAAAAATTTAGCACTAAATTTGTTTCTTATTAAGTTTCTTGTGTTATATTGTTAATGTCAGAAGCATTTCATATAGAAAGTTTTTGTAACTTTGTTCGCATTATCATTGAATCAAAACAAAAAAAAAAACATCGATAGTTTTATAAAGTTGAGGCAACACTCTGTCCAATTAGTCAAAGGTATTTAGACTCCATATGTGTCTTAAATGATTTTTGTATGGGATTATGATGGTAGTAGTGAAATATTATAATACATTTGCAGGATTATTCTCTGTCTTTTTCTTTAATTGAATAATATAAATGAAAATGCAGAGAAAAAATAAAAAAAAAAAATTCTGTCTTTTTTGCATTTCAGCATGATCATATTATTAGCATATAATACTTATATTTTACCTAAATTCATCCATTTATGGGTGTATGACATGCCACAAAATAAATGCGTGCAACAAAGTTTATTTATTTTAAATTTGTTTTTATGATTTTTATGAAATAATTAAAATTATCTCTTATAAGATTTTATCAATATATTGATCATACATATCAAAATCACAATAAAAAAAGTTTACTAATTGACTTAGAATGAGCCAACAGATTTATCCCACTAATCATACATTATTGCCCTATGGAATATTCGACTCATACGTAATTCTCTGATGAAAGAAACCACTCAAAGATATTTTAAGAAATTTAATTAACAGATATCATAGAAAAAGAATGATTACTCTCAGTTCCAGTAAAAACGAAAGCGTACATTCAAAATTTATGATTGAATATTTGTGTCTTTACAAGCGAATATAACACTCAATAAGCAGTACTCTACGTTTCAAAGGTCAAAGTTTATATCTGACTCAGTCCTCCCCCTTCTTTAGTTAGCGAACCATAGCTGCACTGTGCTTGGAGACACAGTTATAGACAAACATAGCGGGGGAGCGCGTACGCAACCCCAAACGCAAAAATTGTGCTGTTGGCTGATCCCAACTCGGGATAGCCACACGCGTCAACCCGACCCAGAGTGCAATGGCCAAGCCTCAGCGTGGAGGTCCCGCCTTGTTGATCGCGAGACCCTCCCAGCCAGGTAAGTTTATGAGCTTCCCACTTCTGAGGTACCTCTTGCAAAAGCTGCAAATAATAGATGGCTTGCTGAATGTTACTTGCATTTGACAAGACAATGCGATCTGTGAAGAGCGTGGAGACGACGAGTTGGTTGAAAGAAAATGTTAAACATTTCAAATATTTCATTTGGTCCACTGAAGGATACACAAGAGGAAATCAAAGATTTATGACTGCGACACAACGACAAATTTTGATCTTTGAACTGCGAAACATTTCGTACAAGCAAGAATGCATTATTATTAGATCAACTAGATAGGTTCTTAAGACTCGTAGTACTCGAATTACCATTGTAATCTGAGGCTCTCAGTACTCAAATTGGCATTATACTTTTCCGGATCATGAAGACCCGGAAAAGTATGATTTTGGAGTCATGCAAGACAACTCCTGTACGCAATCATAAATTATGGTCCGGATTTTTGTTAATCTAACAGAAATTAACCGTTTGTATTTTCTGTGAGTGAAAAAAAAATAATAACATTCTAACATTTCGGGTATGATTCATTCTCATTATATTACTAAGTTATTCTATTTTTTGACCTTTAACCCTACAATGATGATTTATCTATCTGAAATCAGTCATAATGACAAATTATGTTTCCAAGATTTCTGTGCTATTCTATCTTATTTCAAAATTTATACACATTTGATAATTTAAAAAGAAAATATTTAATGCTATTGCAGAAATGCATCAATCAATCAATCAAATAAGTCATATCAGGTTTTCCTGAAATATTCTTGCCATTATCGTTTGATTTGCAAGAATGATTTGAATCATTTAATTGTTACAATAATTATTTCCAAAATTCAAATAAAATTTATTATTGCGAATACATTAAAATGATGAAACGATGAAATAATAATCTAAAAAAGATTGATCAGATCATTAATAATCTTTGCTTCATCGATTCGATCTTCTATCATTGAAATTAAGTTGGTTCCGTTTTACATTCGCATTGTCCTTTATAATTGTCACAGTCTGGCTCACCTTCCAATAAGCAATGCCAAAATTTCTTGCATTTTTGATTGCATAATGACACTCTGTAAAATGGTTAACAATTTAAAATCTTTTATATTTAATACTTAAAAAATAAATTTAAACATTGAAATTTAAAAAAAAAATATAATATCCAATTAATCATTTGCATATTTATATAATTTATTTATTTTTATTTTTAATTTTATTTTTTTGATATGGAATCAGATTTATAAGACATAAAATCGGACGGATGCATATTTATCAAACTTTTTTTTTTTTGTTTTTAAATTAATTTTAAATTATTAAAAAAAACCTTCGTCCCATTGCATTAGGCATAGCGATGACAATGATAACAATTAAAACGAGCAATTTTGTTGTATTCAACATATTCTTGTTGAGTTTTAATATCGATCAATTCAACGTTGAAATAAAATTTCCTGATCAGTTACAATTAAGAACTGAATTGATCACTTATTAAATCAAGCAACCAACCGGAATACTTTCACCAGCATACACTGATCACACAATGTTCCAATCAATATTTAAGTTAAATTTTTAAAGCAATAAAATAATATGCAAATTTATTATTAAATAATGCAATTCGTTGAGGATTAATGTTAAAATAATCCTATTGATTAGCAATTGATCTAAAAATAAAACTGAATAAATATGAAACAAAAAAATTCCATTTTAAAATATCTAATTCTTCTGGTCTATTCCTATTCGGAAATTACAATCTAATAAAGAATCAGTTGAACTTTATCTTAAAATCTGAGTGTTAAATTATCTTACAATTTAAGCCTCAGAACTTTTACAAGTGAAAACAGATGCTGCATGGAAAAATATTCTAGGTGACAAATAATAGATATTAGGAAAATTGAAATTTTATAAAATTTATTAGATTTTATTTGCAATAATATTAATAATAAATGTAAAATCTGTAAATTTCTAATCTGTAAATTTAATTCATTATTTTTTATTTTTTTAAATTTTTTTTAATTTATACGTGATTTGAGAGTTAAAAAAAAACAAAAAGCTAAGATTTGAACTTACTTTTAAAGATAAATTTTAGTTTGATTTGATTAAAAATTTCAAACTTTATGATTAATTCCAAAAACAACGTATGCGAATAGTCAGAAAAATATTTTAGGTCTGAAATAACAAATATATTCATTTCATATTGCTTTCTAAAAAGTTTTTCCTATTTAACGATGAATTCTAAAAAGTTTTTTCCAAACGTTTTTACATTTTTTTTTTATTGAATATTTTTTCGATGCTTAGCATTTCTCATTTGCAAATTACACAGAATATAAATATAAATAAATATTTTTAATGTAAATTCAAAAAAAAAAATGTTGAAATAAAAATTTTTATACATTTTTTGTCGTAAAATATTTTTTTACAATGCAAAATTGTTTTCACAATAAAAAAAAAAGATATTTATTATGTGAAAAATAAATTCAAAATGAATTTTGAACATTTTTGAAATAATAATTACAGAATGAAATATTTAACGATTCTTTTTTTTCTTTTAATTTATATATGATTTGATAGTTAAATTAACGATTTTTTTCTTAATTTATATATTTTTTTAATTTTTTTTTCAATTTCTAACCTATAAATTTAATTTATTAATTTTTATTTATTTTAAATTTTTTTTAATTTATAATTTAACGATTTTTTTAATTTATACGTGATTTGAGAGTTAAAAAAAAACAAAAAAATGTCTATCACATTCATTGATTATTACTGATCAAAGTTATTTCAATTAAAAAATAATATATCTGATTTTTTTTTTTTTTTTTAATAGAATGAATGGAACCTATCAATATTTATTAAATTTTTCGAATATTTATTACAATTTTTTTTCGATAAATTTAATAAATAAAAGTTAATCATTTATTTACGATTAATTTTGACAAAAATTAAACATAATTAAATGATTTAAAGCAAAATTATTTATTAATCACTTTATCGTTATATGAATGTTTTAACATTTCAACAAATTATCAAAAATTGACAAATTTATAAAGGTAAGAGAGAGGGGAGAGAGAGGCAAAGAGAGAGAGGGAGAAAAAGGAAAGCAAAAAAATATTTATTTTCAAAGGAAAATAAAAAGTGAACGACTTTTTTTTTTCATATTTATCATATTATCATTGGTAAATTTGATAAGTTATATTAGCTGTTTATCTTTACACCTTCACAGGTATAAATTCTATTTGTCTTTTTTTTATTTACAAATGGATATTTCTGATAAAATCGTTGCGGTGATATTATTTTTTAAAATGAATATTTTACTATAATTGAGTATAATTACAATTACCGATTATTATTATCCAAATTAATTATCAATTTGTATTTTAAAGGTATGTATTATCTTAAAAATACGAAAATTTTGAGCAGCTATCCAATCAAAAAAGATCAAAAAAGAAATTAAAGAATCAATAAATATTCTAATCAATCAAATTCATAAATGTATTATCTAATTGAGTTCAATTAAACTGTGATTTTTTAATTGAACTTAATTGCAAACTTATCAAAAATAATAAACCAGCATTAAGCTTACAAATTGAGAGAAATTAAAATAATATACTTCAAACCAAATGTTATTCCGGAATGATCGATTCCGTAAAAGTTGTCATTTCTTGCGAAAATAGAAAGCACTCATCGAATATGAAAAATAAACAGTATTTACAGACAATTTATTGTTATGATTCTATTAAGCAGTTTTAATTACTTAAAGTATTTGTTCATTAATTATTGCTTTAAATTTCAATTTCAATTCTTCGTGCACTTTTATGAATTATCATATTTCATTAAGTATATCACTGATTACTCGCTTAATTATAAGTAATATTGCTTAAATTATAAATTTTATAAAAAATATTTCTTTGTTTTTTTTTTCTTTCTGCCTTATTAGTTAATGATTTCAGACGAGTAACGATGTTTTGATTTAAAATAAAAATTAAAAATTATTTATTATTTATTAATAAATTTTATTTTGATTAGAAGTAATTTGATCATTTCATTCTATATTTGAATTAGAAAATGTTGTGAGTTAAAAAAAGCAAAAAAAAATTTTAAATATTGTTTTCAAAATTATTTAAATCATAACAGTTGAGTAAGTAAGGATTAGATTGAGATTAAATAAATTAAATGATTGCATTTTTGAAATTCTTTGAGATTTAACGGTAGTTTGCCGGTGAGATTAAAAACTGAAAGTGAAGAGAAATTTTGAAAATTCAATTTCAACTTTAACAAATTGTAATGTGTTCGTTTAGAATGAATATAAATGATAGTACAGATCAGTTGTTTGCTTATCAGTAATGATAACTGATAATTTGCACTTAATAATACTTAACATTGTACTTTTCGAGATATCTTTTGCAGAAAAAGAAAAATATTTTGTAAAAGAAGGAAGTTTTTTTTTTTTTTTTCATTAGAATTATTTAATAACATCTAACAATAATAAATACAAATTATCAAAACAACAATGATAATAACAAAGGTAACTTTTCGGCTCTGCTAAAAGTTATGATTTCTTACGTTGATAAGGCCAAAAATTAGCAAACCATCGATCTTTATTTGACAAAACAATTATTAGAATCACTGAAAAAGATTAATTTGTTTTTAAAAATAAACAAAAGTATTTGAAACAAACAAACAAACAAAAAATATGAGTTAATCAATGAAAAAATATTTATAAAAACCTGCAATGACAATAAATTATTAATGAAATAACATAAATAAATAATTTCAAATTTAAAAAAAAAAAACTAACCGGAAACGGAAGATAATAAAGTAATGCCTAATAGTAATAATGAAGCAATCATTATATTATTTGAAGGTTTTATTTGATCAATTTCAGTGATATTTTTAAAAATATCCATATGTTCATTGTAATCATCATTTTCCTGCAAAAAAAAAAAGGAAAAAAGGGAAAAAAAATGTCGCATTGAATATTTTTTGCTATTTCTAAAATAATTTTAAAAAATTCAGTTAATAAATTTAATTAAATCAAGTAATTAAATTCTATTTTTCATCATTTTAATAAAATAAAATTAATTAGAAAGAGAAGCAAAATATCAATTGTAATTTGATTAAATGTAATTAAATCAAAACGAAAATAAAAATTTTAAATTCAAATAAT